CAATCATTATTCTTTAGAAATGTGAATTCAACTACAACAATAACAACACCAGCAACAGCAACAACAACACCATCAACAACAACGACACAGACAGCAATAACAGCAGCAGCAACAACAACAGCAACAACAAAACCAGCAACAACAACAGCAACAACAGCAACAGCAGCAACAACAACTACTACAACAACTACTACAATAACAACAACGACACCACCAACAACAACAACAACTGACACCTAGCCCAGCAATACCAGCATGCAACAATAGCACCCACCAATCACACACACGCCAGTAACATGCACCACGCACAATCTTCAACAACACGCGCAAATATGAGAGGTACGTGACACGCACACACACACACACACACACACACACACGCCACGGACACAGTCCAATATCAACTACTACTATCACGCGCCACTGTCAGGCATCAATAACGCACGTCATTAACAGTAACATCGATATTCCAAACGATTACTAGACAACAGTCGCAGACGCAATCATCATCGACACATCAACCACCCAAAGCAATCACATGCGTGACAAACAAAATCCCACGAGCATACACCAATAACTGACTTCATGAACGCACGCGATGCAAATACGTTAATCACACATGTCAACGTCACACGCCAATTAGACACTAAAATCACACAAGCAATACTCGAACACACTCACACACATCAAGGGCACTGCCTGTCATACACAAAAACTCAAGATCAACCGGCAAGAGCACCCATACCACGCACCGGCAACATACACACACATATATATATATATATATATATATATATATATATATACTAGAACCATCGCGCGCGCTTCGCGCGCGCTCAGGTTCTAGCCCAGGCCAGGGGCGCGCTAGAAGATCTTGGACAGCGCAATCAAGCACAGGCGCGTGACATAGTCGTGCCTCCTGAGGGCCTCTTGGGAACCTCTTGGGTTTTCGTGGGGGCATCTGAAGGGCTTCTGGGGAGTTCTCCGTGCTTCCTCAATTGGCTGTTGGAGGCACCTCTTGGGTGCTTCTCGGGGGGGCATCTTGGGGCTTCTTGGGGTCCCTTGGGGGCATCGTCAGGGTTCTCCGGGCAGTCGGAAAGTGATGTTCTGCAGTCTGAAGCAGTCAATTGGCCGTCTTGGCTGCGTGGAGGCCCGGCTTGAGGCCACATTGGGGCAATCCGGAAGCCTCCTGGGGCCTCGTTGAAGCAATTTTGATGCATCGAGAGCACTGTTCGGCTACCTTGGGGCCCTGTGTACGTCTCCTGTGAGCCTTTTGGGGCCTGGTGGGGGGCTTTGAGGGGCCTCGTCGGACCACTTGGGGACTCTTGGGGCCTCCTGTGGCCCTCTTAGGGCGGAAAGCTCTGCTGTTGGGTTCGCGTTCCCCTTCTTGGGGCTCTCTTGGGGCCCTCTTGGGGCCCTCTCGGGCCGTCTTGGGCGCCTCGGGCACCGTCTTGGGGCCCTCGTGGGCCGTCTTGGGGCCCTCTTGGAGGCCTCTTCGGCTATCTTGGAGCGGCCGTGGGGGCCACTTGGGCCGTCTTCGAGCGTCGGGATGCCAAAAGGCTGGGAACTCTAAAATCCATCAAAAGCCGATGGGAAAACAATGCTTCTTGGAACCTCTTCGGCCTTCTGGGGAGCTTCTTGAGGGCCTCTTGGGTCCCATTTGGGGCCTCTGGGCCTCTGGGGCTTCCTGAGGGCCTCTCGGGGTGGAAGGCTCGGATTTTCGGTTTGTCTTACCCCTCTTGGGCCCCCCTTGGGGCCGTATTGGTGCCCTCTCGGGCTGTCTTGGGCCCTGTTGGAGGCCTCTTGGGCTATCTTGGATTGGTATTGGAGGCCTTTTGGGCCGTCTTGGAGCGTCAGGACGCCAAAAGGCTGAAAACTCTAACATCAATCAAAAACCTATGGCAAGACATGGATTTTCGCCTCTTGGGGCCTTCGTCAGAGGCCTCTTGGATACTCTTCGGCCCCCTGGGGGGCTTCTTGGGGCCTCTTGGAGCCTGTCAGGGGCTTCTCGGGGCCTCCTGAGAGCCTCTCGGGGTGGAAGACTCGGATTTTCGGCTCGTCTCAACCCTCTTGGCTTCATCTTGGGGCCGTCTTGGGGCCCTCTCGGGCCGCCTTGGGCGCCTCTGGCGTCGTCTTGGGACCCCCGTGGGCTGTCTTGTGACCGTCTTCGAGGCCTCTGGGGATGCCTTGGAGCGGAAATTAAAACCTCTTGGGCCGTCGTGGAGCGTCTGGAAACTCAAAAGGCGAGAACTCGAAAATCGATCAAGAACCACAGGGAAATATATTAGTTGTGCCTCCTGGGGCTCCTTGGAAGCCATCTTGGAGACCTCTTGGGGCGTCTTGGAGGCCTCTTGGACAGTCAGGGACCAATTCTGGGGTGATCTCGGGCGGTCATTGGTTGTTTTCGTTGTCTGGAAACGCCAGGGCCGCCTTCGGGCGACTTTACAAAGCCCCCAGTGCCACGGCAGGGCCCCCGGGCCCCCCGGTGCGAGGGCCCCGT